CGATAAACAGATATTTCCTTTTAATAATAGACAAGTTGACACACATATGACATGTATTTCAATGCTTGAAAATAGATTTTCTAAAAAATCGTTTGCGTCATTTGTAAAATGCACTTTCATTATTAAATAAGTCTAAAACGATTTATAAACCTACAAATAATTAAAGATATATTTTTCAATACATTCAGCTGCTTATTTTTTCTTCCACGCTCCTTTATCATTCACTTTTATTTACTCAAGATTGTCGCGTGTAACCATCAACAAATTCATTTATAAAAACTTTTTTTTTGCATGTAAAAAAAATTTTCTCAGAAAATTTTTTTTAAATTTTTTATAGGCATCTTTTGGTAATCGAGAATAAGAATAACATTCTTATCAATTTGAAATAAATAGCTATTTCAAATTTTATAACCATATAAATATATGACCAGTGAGAAATATGATCAGCAGTACATTAACATACCCATGCGTCATATTTAGCAACAAATAAACAGGATAAATACTTACTGGAGGCCTTCATCCGTAACGTAACCTTTTAACTAAATAAAAAATAAATAGTGGAAAGGTCAATACTCTTGGGTCATAAGACAACTTTCCCAGAATTCCATGGCCTTTTTGCCCTGCTCTTCGTAGGAAATCGAATTGAAACTGAAAGGAAAGGCTGGATCTGTGGGTTGATCAGATGATGATGAAATGAAAACGATCTTTTGATACATGTGTAGGAATAACAGGAATTTCGCGTGTGATTTTTCGATGACGTCATAGACAAATTAAATGCCCGATGTTGTGGTGAGCATTTAAAAAGAAGTGAAATGGTGGAAATTGTTTCAAATTGGTATTTTATCTCAGTGTGTGAAATCCGGGTAAGGAGTCCATATATAAACCATTGAATCACACAAGTTATACATAACATATTTCAAGAATTGTTTTTTGGTGTTGTAGTTGTCAAATGGCGTTCTATCTTAATAGTTTGAGTTAACAATTTAACAAATGAAACAGTTCGTAAATAAAAAAAAAAAAAGGTTGAGTAATTAAAAAAATTTCTACATATCCACATATCACCGGATTTCCGTACCCGGTGATAATGATATGATCTACATCTTCAAGGAAGAAGTTTTACTACATAGTACTAGAAGTTTTCGGGAGCTAGGAAATAGCCTTGTTAAATTTTTGAAACCTGTAATGCTATTTAAAACCAATCAATCATCCATCATATACTTAATATTTTGGCTGCCTTTATATAATTACTTTAAAGAAAAGTGTCATTTTTTTTGAAGAGGCAATTTTTTTGATTATATTATATATCTATCTATCTATCTATCTATCTATCTATCGNTCTATATATATATATATATATATAATTTTTCTTTTAACAATGTTTAGAATAAATGCATGGAGGAAAGAGAACATTTATTTATGAAAATTGCATTTGTGTTTCCCATCGCATTTTTTAAATCAAAATATAATATATGAATTCGCTAATAAAGATTTATTTCCTCAATAATTATTTTTCTCCAATAATCATCATCAGCGCTTAAAATAGATAATTTTAGTTTTCATATTAGAGTAAACAGTAAATGGAAGCAATTCTTAGATTTTAATATTTAATTTTTTAATAGCCAAAAAAATTGTGAATTGTAAGGTATAACAACCTTTGCATCACTTTAAAGAATATATTTTTAATTGGCAAAATACAGAATATGAACGAAATCGGAATGTTTCTAATAAAATTAGAATTTTTGATTTTTTAAAAATTCAAAAACTTAGAAACGATAAAAATTTTGTATTTTGACATTTAAAATTACATTCTCAAAACTGCTGCGAAATTTTGCATAGATGACAATAGGGTTGAAGTTAGTAGAAATAATGAGGCGCCACATTTTTTATGAAAAAAAAATGTGAATTCGAATGAGGATTGTAAGGTACTGTAAAGTTTCTTATCGTCAATAAAAAAAATTATAATTTCAAAAAGTGGAAAAAACGCGAGCATATCTTTATTCAATAATTATTTTTCAGCAAATTATAAATAGTGGTTCAAATTTTAGAGCTCTCTTATAATTTTTTCAAAAGTTGAGTTGTTGTCAATGCACAAAAATGCAGTGTTATGTACAGTGAGCAAACAAATAAATACCATGAATTACTTTTGATCTTAGTACTACTTATTGAAACTCAATCTTAATCTTAATAGTACGCGGGCCTAACCTTAAATATGGTAATTAATTAGTGCGGACGATATTTCACATTACGAATCAGCCGCATTCTGATCCTTGGTCCTAAAAATGTGGAAGTAGCCGAGCTGCAATTTCGCAACCGTCCTTGAACAGCCGGCCCAATTTTATGTTTATGACTATCAATGTTCAACCCTTGTAATTTGGAACCCAATCCAGAAGACAAAGGAACATGGATCAAGTATTAGGAGAAATTTTGCCTTCGTGAAATTTTGCCTTTTTGATAGTACTCACCCGCATTTACTTTGTAGGGAGAGGAAAACCTCCGAAACATCTCACGGTCAGTACGACTGGGGTCCCCTATAGGGGATTCTAACTTATGATATCTCTACTACTCAGGACAATGCATAATGAGGCTAGGACTGCAATTTGAAAAATGAGTCCCAATAATTTGGTCAAGAGTTGATAATAGTAAAGACCCCTTAATGTTAATTTTACTTGTTGCGTATTTCGCTATATCTCGAAAATATTTTCAACGAATTAAAAAATTTCTGCATATAATTTTTAAATTCGTTTATTCAAAGTTTCAAAATAATGATACAAAAATAATTTTAATAATTTATTATTATTTTAATGATTAATTACATTAAATTAATATATTATTTTAAAATAGTCGAAAAAAGTTTGAATTTTAAGATATACAATTTTTAAATCATTTTAAAGAATGTAATTTTATAAATAAATAGGAAATTTGAACGAAATCCATCAAAAATTCTTGAGAAATCAAATTTTAACGATACGACTTTTTTTAAAAAATTAGATAAATCAGATTCTATTCGACCGACAACGACAGAGCCTTCCTCTCTACCCTGTGACCCTTCCGTTCCTAGGGTAGAACAAGTCCCGCTGCGGTCAGTGTGCGGGTGGGTGGCCACTTGGATCAGTCTGCGTAGGGACTGAGGGTGTGCGGTATTGATCCTCGTTAAATTGTTCTTCCTTAAAGTGCTTGACTTTCTATGCAGGTCGTCTGTCTACCGAAGCGGGGTGCCATCAGCTCTGCAGAGAATCAAAATTGTGATGACATGCCTTCGGATCATCCTCGGGGATGTTTCCCAGACCGTCGCCAACAGCCCATTGTGCAGCTCTAGTGCGACGTAAATTAACAACAACAACAACCTAGGGTAGAACGGAAGGGTCAGAGGGATACCGAGTTTAAGGACTTTTTTACGAGTTAAGAATTTGAAACTGTAAATGTAATTATTACTAATAAATAATCCATTATTTATTTAATATTTCAGTTATATGTTTAAAAAGTTATTTGAGTAAATTACCAGTAAAAAAAATAATAAAATTTGAGAAAAAAAATATATATACATTTATTCTAATAGAAAAATATCGAATAAGTTATGGTAAAGATTCTCATTTATAAGCAAATTGCATTAGTATTTCTCGTCGAACTCTAGAAAGAGATGTGTTTTCCTGATAATCATTCTCAACGTAAATAAGTATTCAACCTAATATTAGTCATATATATATGTATTGCTTTTTGTATGGACTGGACTAAAATATGTTTTTAAAAATTTTCTATAAATATCTCAAAACATATTTGGTTTTGTTTTTGAAAAATATGACGCCCATATTTTAATATGAAACCAATTTAAAATCAAAAAATTAAACCAATTTAATTCAAAAAAAATTATAAAAAATTCGCAATGTGCTTATCCTTATATTATTTCTTTATTTGTACTGCTTTTTTCGTGGATTTGGCTAAAAAAGATTATAAGAATTTCCTATAAATATTTTAAACCATATATGGGTGTTTTACATAAAACCAATTTCAAATAAATTTCTTGATTCTAAAAATTATAAGAAATTCGCAAAATGTCCCCTCCAATACTACTTCTTAGTTAGTAATATTCTAATAATCTAAATAATATTCTTAGTACAAATCGTTTTTTGAAATATTTTCTATAAATATTTCAAAACATATATGGATATTTTTGGAAAATATAACACCCATATTTTGAGAGGAAACCAGTTTCAAATAAATTTCATGTTTTAAAAAATTATAAGAATTCGCATTGCATTCAATATTATATCTGTTTTTGTAGTGCTTTTTTGCATGAATTGAACTAAAAAAGGTATTTTTAAACATTTTCTATAAATATTTCAAACCATATGTGAGTGTTTTTTAAAAAATATGACGCTTATATTTTATACCCGTCGTTGAACAGCCGCCCCAATTTTGGGTTTACAACTACTAATGTTCAACTCCGCAGCCTTGTAATTTTAAAACAATCGAGAAGACAAGGAAACTCCTGGGTCAGTATCCCCAGAGGTATTGATGCGCTCATATTTTAATACGAAACCAGTTTCAAAGGAATCACATGATTAAAAAAATTATTGTTAATTAAAATTTGGAAAGTGTCAAGCGTCCCTTCTCCTACGACGCCTATGATATGGCTCCTATTACGAACTGCTTCATTTTGCACGAATTGCTTTTATGCATGATCATATAAGCGAATCAGATGCAGTGAGTAAATATTTCCCACCAATCCGGCTCTCATTCACATGCGTTTTTACGCATGAATTTTATCGCATATTTTATCGCATATGTGAATCGCTCGCAGTGACGCATCCATTAGGTTTTGCTTGCAGTCTGAACGATCCCTTTCCTAGAAAAGAATTCCGAAACTAAATCGCAGCGTTTAGCTTACTTTGATATCACAGTTATTTCTCAAAATTATTGATTGCCAGATTTTAAAATATAACTTGACATTAGCTCTGCAGTAATTTATATATAAAATTACTTAGTTAAACTAATTATTTTTTTGATTATATTTTCTTTAAATACTTATATTGAATTGTACTTGAATCAAAACAAAGGTTGTTTTTGAATTTTTCAAAATGGTGAAGCTCAGTCTTTGTTGACAAATAGCAGTGCGGTCCTTTGACAAAATGAAGTATACTATGGCTGATGATGGAGAAGAATTCAATTTATTTAGTGTTGGTACAGTAGTTAGTTGCAAAACATGTTTCGGTGAAGAAATTGAAGGCGAAGTGACTGCATTTGATTACCAGACTAAAATACTTTTTTTAAGTATCCTTTGCTGATTTCATTTTTATATCTTTCTTTTAATTCCATGCTAGTGTGGATGTTAAAATCAATTGCCGGATGTACTTACCCATTTATAATTTGATGTTTGTCAAAAATCTTTGTTTAAAATCGTCTAACGTTCAATTTGTTTTGAAAAATTTAAAAGAAAATGTTATGTGGTTCTATCTGCGTATAATGTTGTTTTGACATGGTACGTATAAACAGCTCTGTAATGAAAAAGGTATATTAAATGCAAGTTTTATCCTTGAAATTATTAATGTATGCTACTCCTGAAGTCTATGAATAGATTAATAAGTGTGTAAAAGTTAAATTTGATTTTAACATGTTTCTTTCTTTTATTAAATATCATCGGTTTTGTTATTTTCTGTTGATATATTGTGTATACGGTTTAATAATGTCCTTTAAGTTATTATCCCTTAATGTAATGAAGAATGCCTGAGCAAATCGGGAAAAGCCAATGTTCATGACATGCGGATGATCAATTTAGATTTTGTTGGAGATATAAATATCAAGAAAGAGGTCACAACTCCTGTTAATGGAACTCAGTCTCTTTTGCCACTAAATATTGATAAGGTATCTGCAAATATTTACTATTTTATTATGATTTTAAAGATTGATTGTATGCTAAACCAAGGTAAAATTGAGCTTTTGTTAGTTGATATACAAGTTGGTAATGGAGATTTCCATATCGTAATGTGTCGCAGAATAATTGCTAAGTTTTGGCAACTAACAAAAAAAACATTGCAGAAAAGGACCAACCTGGTGGTTATAACTCGTAGCCACTCTCGGGCAAACATCTACATGTTTTTTAAATCCCCCCCCTCGGCAATTGTAGTTATGCTGGCAGATCACGATACGGAAATCTCCCCATATGAGTTAATTTGTAGTTTCTTACTATGATTTCACTAGATCTTGCAAAGTAGAGATTTTCTGTAATCCTTATATAAAAATTTTTGGATTTTTTTTTAACATAAAGTAAAGCTTTATTAAATGTAATGCATATCTCTATTTAAGAAAATTTGAGAATTAGCAAATTAAATTAATCAATTTTAATATAATTTTAGAATAATATAATTTATATATATTAATATAATTTTTGATTAACAACAAATAATATGAATTAGTCATGTTCCCATAAAGATCTATAAAATAACTATCGAAGTTTGAATTAAATGTTAACAGATTAAACCTTCTACAAAATTTCTACATTTAATCTTATTTTTAACGAAGTTAAAGCAAAATGATATAAAATAGGTTGTTCGTGGAAAAAAAATTCATAAAAAGGAATAACCTGTAAACAATTACTCTTTAAAAAGGAATAACCTGTACACGATAACCTGTATTAAGTATAAAATCTTCATTTAAATAAAAAAAGTAAAAAGGCATTTCATAAACATTTTAACTCAGCATAATGAATGATTCCTTCAGAGAAGCTTTATCAAAAGCAAAACATTTTTATAAAATTNGATTTTTTTTTCTTCATGTCATAATATAAGTTTAAATTTCTTAATAAGTTTAAATGTGCATAATCTTCAATAATAAAGAAAAATTGTAAATGTATAGATCTGCAGACAAAAATGCTTACTAGAGCATAAGTAAAGATAACCCAGAACCTATAATAAGATAGAACTTATAAAAATAGCTAAGAATGGGCAAAAAGATTAAATTTATAAAACAACATAACTGAATTTGAAGTATCAGCTTAAAACAGTATGATTTAATGTTTCATTATAGTAANAAATTATTTTTTTGTAAAACAGTTTCTGTTTCTGCAGAACCTTTTTTGAGAACTTTTGTTTTTGCCAAACCCAAAAATTTTATTTCCCAAATAAGAAAATTTTTCTGCAAGAACACAGTCCCTTTCTGCGACAATGTCGCTGTGTCGCCGTGTTTCTGCCACGGGGCTGTACACGATAACCTGTATTAAGAATAAAATCTTCATTTAAATAAAAAAAGTAAAAAGGCATTTCATAAACATTTTAACTCAGCATAATGAATGATTCCTTCAGAGAAGCTTTATCAAAAGCAAAACATTTTTATAAAATTAAAATACTATTAAGAACTGTAAAATGGTCTTTCTAACAAAAAATTTAAGTTTCAGATAGATTCGCGATTTTTCTTTCTTTATTTTTGGTCAATACGTTTGATGACTGTCATATTTTGCCTTTTGGTAAAATAGTTTTTTATATATATGGTGTTTTAAATGTAAAGCTATTACAACGTGATATAAAGCAATGCTTGTTATAAACACTTGGAGTTATTTTCGAGAATTTTTATTAATGTTCAATGAGTGCCGGCATGTGCTTTCACTGTATCAGAAAGTGATGGGAGTCGTGTTGGTCCTATATTCGTCATTAGCCAAGATGAAAAACTAATTGCGTGTTAAGGGATGTGGCTAATTGAGCAATTTTAAATATTAATTACAAAATAGCTAGCTAACCCACTGAACTGAAATTAGTGTCTATCGTCATAAAATGGTTTAAAGTTTTATTTTCAAAAATAAAAAAATATCATGCAGGTTAGGAGAAGGTTGTTTAGTGTGCTGTAGTAGGAGAAGGTTGTTATGTGTTCTGCTACCAAAGAGAAAAGATAAAACTGCTTATTTAGTCCAAAAATTAGTGATCCCATCGTTAATGGACGGCCAGACATCTGGACATAACTATCACTTTACAACTAAAATGAACAATTATGTTTGACGGTTGGAAATTTTTATAATGTACTTTGTTTTGTTTATAAATATGAAACATAGCTGCCCGAAATTTAACACGGACAGTTAAATATTGATTTCGCAGTGAAGAATTACAGGACCAAAACAATTAATATTACTTAAGTTAATTCTTATCATATTAAGAATTAACACTAAACACACCAACACTTTACAATACAATCCAGAATACAATAACTGGTCTTTAGATCTGTTATGGTATATTTTATTAACTATTTATATTAATCTTCCTCTAATATTCTTAATGTTTTTGTTCTTTTTTTATTTATTAAGAACTTGATGTATATATTGTTAATATAAATTTAACGTGCTTGTTTATATTATTTTTTTCATCAGAAATAAATATGTTAAACAGTTAAATGTTTTTTTTTTTTGAAATGTAATAAAAAGCATTTTGTTACTAAAAAAATGTGAGCCTGCAGATACTTTTAGATTATGTGCGTAAATATTTAATTTTTTTTATCTTATTATGTTAATCAATTAATATCTATCTGCTTCTGTTTCTTGAGATTATTTATTTAATGATTTAAACTAATAGTATTGTTTTGAATAGTTTTTGTTCAATGACTATATTTTATTGTGTATTTAAACAATATCTATAAATTTTTTGTTTTTAATATGCAAATATGATGTTATTTTATCTAATAGTTTTATATCGTAATTTCTGCAGCTTACAGGAAGAGCGAAGCAGCATGTAACGGAGAGGAAGCGTTTAGTTAGTGCTTTATCATCAGGTGTTAGTAACGAAGGAGTAAAACTTTTTCTGGCTATCACTAAAACGTAAGTATATTTATTTATTGTTTGAATTCTGCTTATTTTTTTTCTGCTTAGCAAATTTAATCAGAAGTATCAAAATTTAGTTTTTTGAGGTGTATTAGATGCAATCTTTATCAAGAAAAAATATTTTATGTTACAAAATTCATTTTTAAATTCTAAATATTGCTAATGATTATCTCACAAAATTCAAACCAATTTTAATATTTATGCATATCTGGGTCATTCCAAAAATGCTGATCGCTTTTGATAAAGTGGAAATTGAAAATAGTTTTTTTTTTTTTTTTAATCAAAATGCATCTAATGTGGTTTATTGCTGATTCAAAAATCAAAATCAAGCTTTAGCAGCGAACTTTTAAAGAAATTATTAATTACTATACTTTAAAACTTAGACATATAGACTGAAAAATGTCTCCTGTGTTACCAAAATTTAAATTATCCCATTTTTTAGATAGATAAATAAATAAGCAAATTTCCACTGGTAACACTTAGATGTGAATACAGATAAAGACATTTTATTTATGCATGTATTTTTGTCATTAAATAAAAGCAAATTATGTCCCCTTTGTTACTATTTTAATATTTTTGCAACTTAAACGTTTGCTTAATTTCATTAACACGTTGAATGCCACGATAATTTTACTTCGCTTGCCTGTCTGGCCAAAATGATTTTCTAGTATGTGTTGCATATTTTAATGAAATATTATTTACAACAAAACAGTTAATTTTTGTAATCATTCACGACACATTTAATTCACTGAGGTCATCGATGACCCCTGTGGTGCTATGAACAAACTTAGTGCTGGTCACTGGTGACAGTCATGGTATTCAACGTGTTAAAAATACATTGATTTGAGAAATTTATCGAATTCATTACTGATACTTATTAGACATTGATGCAGAGTAACTTTATTTCCGTGAATTTATGCACATAATGTATAAACTGGTGTACATCTGTTATATCTGTACCACATTCCACAATTCTATTTGCTTTAAATTTCTACTGATTCCATTAGCTGCCCCTTTTCCATGTGCAAATTCGAAAAAAGACCATGTGCTTCCCATAAAATATATTTAAAAAGGCCTTTGAATAAATAAATGAAAGTCCCGCTGTGGACTGATCGCCTTAGCAGATCACCTTAGTCAAGCATCACTGGCTGCGGGTGGGTGGCCGCTTGGATCAGTCTGCATAGGGACCGAGGGTGTGCGGTATTGATCCTCGTTAAACTGTTCTACCTTAAAGTGCTCGACTTCCCATGCAGGTCGTCGGTTTACCGAAGCGAGGTGCCATCAGCTCTGCAGGGGATCAAAATTGTGATGGCATTCCTTCGGATCATCCTCAGGGATGTTTCCCAGACTGTTGCCAATAGCCCATTGTGCAGCTCTAGTACGACGTAAATGAACTACAACTATAACAAATAAATGAAAATTATTTTTCTGTCTATATTGAGTGGAAGGGCCATCAGAAAAAAAATGAGAGTATCTCAGGATCAGTTTCCTTAACCATTTTCAAATCGTCGTTAAATAAGCCCATATGCCACTGAGGTTTTGTTGATAGCTTGATGAAACAGTGCTAAATGATACAGGTTAATTTTTTATCAATTCCACAATATGAAAAGCCAGTGTGTAAAGTTATAAAATTTTGTGATGCACCATAATGACGTGCTTGTATTTTTTCAGATAATTTGAGGTTGTAGTTCTCTCTGAAATCTAAATGTATAACAGTTTCATTAGGTTGGAAATCTGTAAGCTTCATATTGTTTCTGAATGTTGAATGCATGTTTTTTGAAGAGGTTGAATTCTTCTATGAATTTACTTGCTAGTTTAGAAACTGGAGAAGTCATAATCAGGGCTGATTGTGCTCCGGAAAAAATCCTGAATTCCGGATTTTTCGCTAACAGTGATCCGGAAGTTTCCGGAGATCGAAAGTCCAGACGTTTCAAAAAACATTGATCACTTAAGTTTCCGGAAATCAAATTTTTAAAGGTGGAACTTAAAAACACAGTTTATTTAATTTGTTTGTAAGGGAGAGCCACAGAGATACTTTATAAGCTTATATCACTAAATAGTTGTTATAATCATAAACTCAAAAGAAAAAGACATATTTGTAAATTTTAATTACTTCTCCAGGTCATCATACGTATGTGTAAATGGTATATGTATGTGTAAAATTTTAAATATATTTATAGTAAACTAAGAAATATTGAGAAAAAGGAAAAAAAACCTTCTTTAAATTTTTTTCTAATTTTTCAATTTAAACTGTTTTTTTTTGTTTTGTTTTTTTCAAATTCAGGAAATTTTCCGGAATTTTGACTTGGGCTTACAATCACCCCTGCTAGGACTGGGCGATATTAGAAATTATATATCGTGATATATCGTCAGTTTTGCATCGCGATATAGCGATGTANACAATATCGTCTTCCACAGCGCGAGTTGGCATCGGAACGTGAGAGAAAGTCCTTGCGTGTATCGCTATATCGTTATATCGTTTTCTTCACTCGACGGCTTAAATCAGATTTCTGATGCATCGCTTGGAATGAAAGTCGCTGTATCGGTTTGCCGATATAGGCGTTAAATCGATATGTCGCGATATATCGATTTATAGCCCAGTCCTAACCCCTGCATAATCATTTTTGATACATTTTTTACACTTAGTTTCTTTCCCTCTTTTTCATAAAGCTGTTTTTTATAATTCATTTCATTCCATTCGGCTTGTGTATCTGTGTTTATTGCATTAAAAAAAAAACATTCTTTCTGTAACAAGATGGATATTCTTAATACATGCAATCTTTGGAATCAGGGCTGCATTCTGTTATTTCAATTAGATCGTTAATGTTATTAGTTTGAATTACTTCCAACTAATGACAGTTATTTTAAATTTTACATTACTGTACAATTTGCATAAACATGTATTTTGTGTGTCAACTAAAAGTGGCAAAGCATAAAAGGGTCAGTTTGTAGCAAAAGAAGCATAGGTGTGCTTTCCACTTTCTTGAAGGAACTTTTTATGTAAGTTTTTCATTGTATCTAATAGGTATCTTTACTGAATACTTTGTTACAGTTTCCTTCTTTTCTGCAATTGCTCTACTGATGTAATCTATTATATAAAAATCTTGAATACTTTTATTTTTTATTAAATGTTTTTTTGTTGGATGGCTTTGCGAATTTTGGATTTCAAGCTTAAAGCTTCTGAAGCAATTTTTCTCGTTAACCTTCACTTTTTTTATTATCTTATTTGTCACAATATTTTCTAGTTTCTTTCTTGCAGATATTGGTACAGTGACATGCAATGTGTCAGAGCATTGTATTTAAAAGGTTGTGTAGAAACCTTTTGTAATTAATACCAGGAAAATTTTTTCTCATAAATTGTTTAATTTTAGAGTGAGGAGTTAATTTGCAATTTTTGTATTTATTAGTAATCTTTGCTCTACACACCCTTTTTCTTAATTTTTCTAGCCTTTGCTTAATTTTATTTTAATTTTCCAATTTAAGATTTATCTTCTCCTTATAAAATTTTGTTGTATCCCGCCTTATTTTTTCCCTTCCATTGCCTGTTGACTGTTTTTTTTTTTTTAACATTTGAAGTTAGTGGTGAACTGTTTTACTTTATGTGCTGTCTTTCTTTGTATGCCGCTTTTTTCTTGCTAATCTATGTTCTCTTTCAGACGTATCACTTGCCAATCTTTTTGTCTTATGATATCTATCACAAGCCTTTTTCTTACTTTCTTCTTTATTTTTATCAAGTTTTCTTCTTTCTCTATAACGCTATGTTTCTCCACAGCTGTTAATGGCATTATCTAAGAATTCAACACAAAATTTATAATAATCTCTCTATTATAGGACTAAAATTATTTATGGAAGAATTGCTAAATAAAAACTTAATGGTCTTTTTAAGTAACACAAGCAATTATTAATTTAGAAATTCTGTTTAAATTTAAAAAAAAAATTAATTTATGTTTCTTCTTTATAAGTGTAAATTATAATTTAGCACAAAATTTATTGCCAAAGTCAAGACCACTTAATAACATAATAAAAGAATTTTTTAAGTCTCTTGTGTTACTTTGTGGTTCCCTGTGTTACCAGAAACATGGTGACACAGTAGACAAGTATCACAGGGGACAAGCTGAAATTTAAATTCTCTCACAAGTTAATTTTATACAGAAACATTACAAAATCACATGAAACTTTTTTTAAAGTATTATTAAAAATTTAAACGTAAAATAAACTAAAATTTTTATTATAGTAAAAATCTAAGGTAACATAGGAGACATACAAAAAATTTGCCATACATCAAAAATCCTTAGTTGTTTTGTTTATGATAAAAATACTGAAAACTAATAAAAAAGCAAAAAAAAAAACAGCATAGAATGATATTTAGGAACACTGGAAGTTAGTAAGGACCCTGAATTAAAACTTAAAAATCATATTATATAAAATAAATACAATTNCATTCTTTCTGTAACAAGATGGATATTCTTAATACATGCAATCTTTGGAATCAGGGCTGCATTCTGTTATTTCAATTAGATCGTTAATGTTATTAGTTTGAATTATTTCCAACTAATGACAGTTATTTTAAATTTTACATTACTGTACAATTTGCATAAACATGTATTTTGTGTGTCAACTAAAAGTGGCAAAGCATAAAAGGGTCAGTTTGTAGCAAAAGAAGCATAGGTGTGCTTTCCACTTTCTTGAAGGAACTTTTTATGTAAGTTTTTCATTGTATCTAATAGGTATCTTTTCTAAATACTTTGTTACAGTTTCCTTCTTTTCTGCAATTGCTCTACTGATGTAATCTATTATATAAAAATCTTGAATACTTTTATTTTTTATTAAATGTTTTTTTGTTGGATGGCTTTGCGAATTTTGGATTTCAAGCTTAAAGCTTCTGAAGCAATTTTTCTCGTTAACCTTCACTTTTTTTATTATCTTATTTGTCACAATATTTTCTAGTTTCTTTCTTGTAGATATTGGTACAGTGATGACATGCAATGTGTCAGAGCATTGTATTTAAAAGGTTGTGTAGAAACCTTTTGTATTTCAGGTATATTAATACCAGGAAAATTTATTCTCATAAATTGTTTAATTTTAGAGTGAGGAGTTAATTTACAATTTTTGTATTTATTAGTAATCTTTGCTCTACACACCCTTTTACTTAATTTTTCTCCCCTTTTGTTTAATTTTTTTTTAATTTTCCATTTTAAGATTTATGTTCTCCTTATAAAATTTTGTTGTATCCCGCCTCATTTTTTCCCTTCTATTGCCTGTTGACTGTTTTTTTTTTTTTTTTTATCATTTGAAGTTAAAAGTGGTGAACTGTTTTGCTTTATGTGCTGTCTTTGTCCTTCTTTCTTTGTATGCCTCTTTTTTCTTGCTAATCTATGTTCTCTTTCAGACGTATCACTTGCCAATTTTTTTGTCTTATGATATCTATCACAAGCCTTTTTCTTACTTTCTTCTTTATTTTTATCAAGTTTTCTTCTTTCTCTATAACACGATGTTTCTCCACAGCTGTTAGTGTCATTATCTAAGAATTCAACACAAAATTTATAATAATCTCTCTATTATGGGACTAAAATTATTTATGGAAGAATTACTAAATAAAAACTTAATGGTCTTTTTAAGTAACACAAGCAATTATTAATATAGAAATTCTGTTTAAATTTGAAAAAAAAATAATAATTTATGTTTCTTCTTTATTAGTGTAAATTATAATTAAGCACAAAATTTATCTCCCAAGTCTAGGCCACTTAATAACACAATAAAAGAATTTAAGTCTCCTGTGTTACTTTGTGGTTCCCTGTGTTACCAGAAACATGGTAACACGGTAGACAAGTATCACAGGGGACAAGCTGAAATTCCCATAAGCAGAATATTTTCAAATGTTCTGCAACAGGACTTATTAATTATGCAAATGTTATGCAAGCATTTCACGGCGAAAAAAAAGTCTTACTTTACATTAAAATACTATATTTTCATTTATTAAAATGCAGGATCATACACAGATACGCTACATTATTTTTTAAACCAAACTAAACATTCTTGATTTGTTACTTTTTCAAATAGCATTTTAAAAAAACTTGACTATCTGTATCTTCAATAAGGAAAAGCCTTTTCGCAGGAAAACGCTGTCACTTATTCAAGATACAAATTGTTCTGCAGGACTTCGTTTGTTCTGCGACGTGCGTCACAGTTTTAGGCACTTTCTGCTTCTGGGCTGAAATTTAAATTCTCTCACAAGTTAATGTTTGTACAGAAACATTACAAAGTCACATGAAACTTTTTTTAAAGTATTATTAATAATTTAAACATAAAATAAACTAAAATTTTTATTATTTATAGTAATAATCTAAGGTAACATAGGAGACATACAAAAAATTTGCCATACATCAAAAATCCTTAATTGTTTTGTTTAATACTGATAAAAATACTGAAAACTAATAAAAAAAAGCAAAAAAACAGCAGGGAATGATATTTAGGAACACTGGAAGTTAGTAAGGACCCTGAATTAAAACTTAAAAATCATATTATATAAAATAAATACAATTAAAAACCTAAATAATTTGCTTGGACATAGCATTTTTCAGGATACAGTTTTTTTAAAACCCAATTAGAACATTAAAAAAGCAAAGTAATTCAATGTTTCAGAATCATATTATCGAAAAAAATCTGTAAGTTATTATTTAGTGTTTTTAATGTAATTTTGTTTTTGTACAAAATTGTAAGAAGTATAATAAGAAAAGTGTTGGATTCTAATGGTGTGCTTTATAATTGAAGTGACTCATGTAACGAAAGATTTAGAGCTCTACTAATCACTCAAGGATTGGGAATGAGTGTATGTTTTCAAAATCTTTTGTTTCATATATAAATTTCATGAATTATTTTCTAGTAAAGATTTTTATAGTGATAATATATATTTATAAATAAAAATAAAAATTAGTTTGAATTTAGTGCGACATTATGTAGCAGTACTTAGAATTTTTTAGAATGCCTACAGATCTAATTATTATAATACTTTCAATTCTTTTTCGTTATTTGAATACTGAAAAAACAATTCTTACAAGTTTTAAATTTTTTTTTTAAATATGCACTTCTTAAAAATATGCATTTTTATTTGTGATCTTAGTCTGTAACAAGTTGTGTTACAAATTATTGCTGCAAAATTCTTTTTTTTCTTCTTTCTCATTTTTAGAGAATAGTATAGATTTATTCACACTTTCTTTAGAGGGAGAGTAGATTTTATCACAGTCTTTAATGTTTAATGATATTTTACAAGTTCAGTTGTCAATGTAACTGGCATGTGGATTGGTGTTATGTCACAGAATTAGCATTTTTAAAGTTATCTACAACCATATATTTATTTTGCTAATAGTTATGCATTAAAAATTTGTTTCTAGGAAAAAATAAAGGAAAAGGATTAATTTTTTTAAGACTTAATGAATCCCAACATGAAAAAGTGTGAAATTAAATACTTTGCATATGTATGATTATCTTGCACAAACCTTTATATTTTATCAACAGCATTTTCACAACAAACTTCATTTGATTAAAGTCCCTTGTATTTTATTAAGTTTAATGTTATTCAAGTTTATGATATTACAAATAGATGCTTTGTTTTTCATCATTACAACTTTTTATTATTGTAGAATACCTGAAGTGACTTGGCAAGATAAAAGTATTGTTGTTACTAATCAAGTTATCATCACGCCACCGTATCGCCCCGAAAACTGTAAGTCTATTGGTAAAGGAGAAGGAGATGCCTTGAATCATGTTCGCAGAATTGTAAGTACACACTTTGCATTGCATACATATTTCAAGACTGTGCCTTCATATTTGTATTTACATATCTGTCAACTTTTATTCTTTTTGAGGATAATTTTCACAAGTGCAAGTGAAGTGACAAATTTCAATAGACAGAAATATTTTTTATATTACTTATAATATTTTTTACTTATATATCGCTCATGGGCTGCAATAGTGGCTCAACTGAAAAAACACACGTTTTGGACTAAGAACAGGTGTAAATATGAAAATACACATTCTTTCAGCAGCAATACTCGCACAAGTCAAAATTCAACTTGAAGGTAATCTTTGTTTAAGCAAACTAAAGCATTTCTTATGCATTTTCCTTAGCAATGAAAAGTTTAAACCCACTTATCTCAGAACATGATTCTTTGAGTTGTGCCGCTATTGCAGCCCATGAGTGATGTATTTATTTCTAATTTATATACATTGATATAACTTATTATTATGTAATATAACTTATAGATATTAGCTTAAATATATGTATAATATTTAACTTATATGTAATATGCTTTTATTTTTAACTTATATATAAGTAGTTAAAAATATAGCAAAAATATGGAACATATTAAAGATTAATGAAAGGAGAAGAAGAAAAATTATTAAAATGAAATATTTAAAAATAAATAATTAAATAAATAAAACTTATTAATTTTCTTCCTTTTTCTCTTTTTTCTAATTTTATGTATGACTTATGTTTCGTCTAATCTTAGCTTCTTCGAAATATCCTCCTTTAACCTTAATCACATCGGTGCATATTTTTGTCATCGGTGCATACTTTTTGCAATGTTCTAGTTGAGATCTGATTCCAACAACTAAGTAAAGATTCAAAGTTTGTTTTGATTGTTAACTCTCATTTTTCTAACATTTCTATCGAGTTTATCCCACAATAGCTTAATAGCATTAATATCAGAGGATTGAGGGGGCCAATCCATGTATTTCAGTACTTTTTTCGTTTTTGCTGAAAAAAATGTTTTGTACTGAATTTTGATGAATGTTTTGGACCGTCATCTTTCTGCAAAACAAATCATCGAAAAAAAATTCTCTGCCCACAAGGAAAAGTATAACACTGCAATATTCTCTGATAATATTTTTTTATCCTTAATTTCCTCTATTCTTACAGAATCTCCATTTTTGTCACCAGCAAAACATCCCCAAACCATCAACATTCACCATGCTTCACAGTTGGTAGTGAACATTGATTTGGCATACATTCGTCAACTAAATTACGAACAGACTGCCTTCGTTTCCAAACAGTTCAAATTTGGACTCGTCAGTAAATAAAATGTTTAACTATGTTTTTTTTTTCAAAAGAGGCTTTTTATCAGCTACTTAATTTTTTAAACTATAATCTCAAAGTCGACGTTGTACAGTAGTTACTGACAGTTTTCTGCCTAGTCGTATTCAATTCCTCACTGATTTCTTGCGCTGTTCGAGTTCGCTGCCACTTACTTTAAATGCAGATAAACTTATCCTCACGTTTGGACGTTATTCTAGATCTCCCTGATTGTTGGCAGATCTTATTTTTGTCAGTTTCTATCTTCTTTTGCAAAGTTCTGACAACAGTGGTCTGGGAAACATTAGTTTTAGAAGCAATTTGTCTACTTGATTCACCTTCTCCATAAAGTGCAATAATAACTACATGTGTTTTGACACTTATTTCTGGTATTTGATCCATATTTCTGTAATAAATTGTATAAGAAAATGTTAACATTTGTTTTTAATATGTACCAGTTATTCTGGCAAATAAAGACTGTTATATTATACATTAAGACTATTGGTCACTAATCAATGAACATATTTTTGTTAAATAAGAAATTAATGTGCAAGTTTTAGGTGTAGTTTTTGTATTTTTAACAATTATAATTTATAGTTGTGTAATAAAAGTTATTTTTCCAGAAACATTTTAAATATAAGATAAACTTTATAAATATTTGAATTATTTTTTTAAGAAAAAACAAAAAAGACAATTTTAAATACTGCATATGTTGGATCGTAGATGCTACATTATTGCATTTTAATATTCTGTTTATGAATTTTAATAAAGTATTATGTAACCATGTTGTTAAGTTTGAAAATTGTTTTAATTTTTAAAAAATACTGTGTGCCAAAGTTTAGATTATGGGTACAATAAAATATAAGGGTACACTAAAATTTAATTTTGTCTACTTAAAAAACTATTTTTTAAGGAAAACATAAATGCAAACATTACTAAGTGATTTTAAAGAAATATGAGCTAAAATAATTTTCTATAAATAATATTAATAAGATTATAAGGAATTTATTTCCACATCCCATCTGTTTTTATTATTTTTTTATATTGGTGTAATAAAACATAATCAAAATTTGACTCCAAATCGTTAATCATTGGAAGTAAACCAGTAAATGACTGGCACAACATGGTGCCTTTGCAATATTTTCTTGATTATATAAAAGTTACATAATTATTAGTTATAAGCAAAGTATTGAGTTCAACTTATTGCCTTTATTTTAGTTACTTGAATGAATGTAGCAGTTACTTTTAATTTTTCATTGCTTTTGTAGGTGGAAAAATATCTGAAAGATCAAGCACAAGCACAGCCTGGTCAGTCAAAACAGTCTCAATCTAGGCCCCATATACAATAGATTATTTAATTTGAAAATTAGAAACAAAAATATGAGATTCTGAGTTGGCTATTCTAGGATAGATACGTCTTATTCTTCATTTTAACGCTTTACCTTTAACAAAGATTCAGTTCTTTATTGCAGATATGTATATTGAAGTGGTTGACACAAATATATTTAGCTGTAATAATTTAATAAAATAGCAATTATGTAGCTAATTATTTAATTTGATACAATGCAATAATACTTTCCATAGATAGTTTTAAGTAGGAGTTGAATTATGTGGAATTTACAATACAATGCAATAATGCTTTTATTCATGATTATAAACCTCTGCACGAATGGTTTCTCATATTATGAGGCATTTTTTTTTCTAAGTCACTTAATTTTGTATAGTAATTGTCTTATCTTGAGTCTTAGTGTATTGTCTAAGTCTCTAAGGAGAAAATATAATCTTGTGAAAATTGTTACATTTTATGTCTGTTGCAAGTACTCATAGTAATTGTATTTTGTGAACTCCATGTTGAGATAGTTATATAAGCAAATGGAAATTTCGCGACACTTTTTTTAAATGTACATTAAAACCGGAACAATTTACATATATTTTTGATCTGTTTATCACTGTTTGTACTGAAAATAATTATTTTATATATTGTTATTTATTAATGTTACTGAATGAAACCTATTCACATACCACACAGTGTTCCAGGTTTTCAAAGAATTGCTGCATAATATCTGCATTGTTAAGGTACTACCTTATTGCATGTTGCATTTAGATTGTATTGACTTGTTGTTTTAGTCATGTTGTCTAACATAACGTTTGTATTTTGTCTTTTTTTTTTAAAATTTAAAAAAGAAAACTGATGTAAGTTGTATTTTTTTTATGAGCCATTAAATTCGAAATATGCTTTTTTATATTCAATACTTTTATATTCTAAACTCTTATTCTAATATCCAGTCTATTTTTTAATTTGACAAATTAACGTGTAAATTTTTTTATTATAACGGTGCAGATAAATATGAAATTGTTTGTCAATTTTGTATGTTGTTTTTGTTTGCTTTTCCAAATTTTAAAAGAACTGGTGTAAAGTTAGAAAGACTTCTTTCTGGTTTAACTTTAAAATTCTGAAATGAATTTGTCGTTTCGGATTTTAGAATAGTATCTTATTTATTAGACACTTGGTATAAGTATTTGTTAAAGTGAAAACAAATGAAATTGCAAGCAATGTGATTTATAAAATGTTATTTTCTGATAGGCAATTGTAATTCCTTTATGACCTTCATAATTGGTTATTTATTTAAAATGTTTTAAATCTTAATAATTTGAAATCATTTAGTGCCTCTAGATGTAAAACTCAGTTGTATTAAAAAAAAATCATCCACTTCAATATACATTTTGTATAATTTAATTGCTAATGACCTAACAGTTTTAGTTTTTTTTCTTCAATATTTATATTTCTGAATTTACTGTTGATGTTAAAATTCTTGTCACCAAACTTAATACTTTTTTTTTTAAAAACATTTTTATGTGTAATTTTTTTTGGAGGAAAAAAGTTTAATGTGTATATATATATATATTTCTTTTCCAATTCAGTTTGGTTTGTTGGCAATAACTCTAAACTGCACTTTTAAGAAAAGTAAGATTTTTGTTAAAATGTTAGTTTTTTTTTGATTTATTAAATTTATGTGATATCTTTCAAGTGCAGAAACATCATCAGCATTTTTAGAAGTCATTCAATATCCTATTATAACTAAGAATAGTGTTAAAAAAATATGGATAAACCTAGTGCAGCTGTAACCTTTTTTTATTCAATTCAAATACTAAGCCACCCTCCATAAAAAATGTAATAAACTTCCCTGAAAATATGTTGTATTTGTCCTTTCCTGTTGTATTCGAAATTGTGTTTTGTTTATGCCGGTGTAAATTTGGGTACAGAGTACCTAAAATTAAATTTAAAAGGAGAAAAGGTGGAAGAGTTTGTTACAGCAAATATTCATGATGAAAAAAAAAATGAAGATCTATAAAAAAGGGTAAATACAAAAATTAATCAAGGGTAGGATAAGGACTATATACATTATTTACAGTATTCCAGATAATAAAACACAGGCACTTTAAATCCTAGAAACACTCCCTTGCCTCCCCTCGAAGGGCTTCAGCAGTACAGAACGTTTCAGTGAGTTGTTAATTAAATAGAATGGGGGTTGAAATGTCTAGACCTGACACTGTCACCTAAAACAGCGGTTCGCATTTTTTCCGGCTACAGAGCCCTAAATAATTATCTTTCTTTCTGCGGAACCTCAACTTTATAAATAAAGTTTATTAAGGTAGTAGTGATCATTATAACCTATAGAAGAATATAATTAAAATATTTAATTAGAGGACTGAAGATTTTCCATCATTTTATCATTATCAGGGGTCGCATTCCCCCTAAAATTCATAAAATTCCTAAAACTATGTGTAAACCCTAAAATTCCTAAAAATCTGATAAAATTTTGTTGGTGTTCCTAAAAAATTAGAGTTATAGGCTAAATATAAATAAAAAAGCAATAATCTAAAATATAAGAATTTAACTACATTATTTAAAACTGTTTTAATTTTGCCACATGGGAATTCTGATCCTGAGAGAGGTTTTTCGATAAATAAAGCAATGCTTAATGTGAGTCACCATGAGAATACTATTATGTCTCTTCGACTAATCAAAGATACCATTTGAAATTATGGAGGAGTGTTGAAGATCACCACAACATTGAGGGCAGTAAAAGAATCTCACAAATCATATCAAGAATATGTTAGAAAAATGATCATGATTAATTTGTTTTTCTCTAACTTCTAATATAAATTGCTGATTTGAAATCTAATATTATCACACAATAGTTTTTCTTAATAAACTATTGTGTGATAATATTAGATTTCAATATTATCACAATTTTTCACAAGATTATGAATTTTAATAAAGTATTATGTAACCATGTTGNATGAATTGTAATAATCTTCTGTTATGTAATAAACTACCGTGTGATCTGTTTTTATCCTAGCAAAATCATATATTACCCCTAAAATTTACCTAAAATTTTTTGAAAAAAGTTCCTAAAATTACCCTAAAATTTTAAAAAACTTTGCTGCTACCCCTGCATTATAATCAATGTTATATTAATAAAGTTTATTAAAGTAATAGTGTACGTTATAACCTATAGAAGACTTTTAAGTAAAATAAATTAGAGGAATGAAGATTTTTCATAGTTTTATTATTAAAAATCTTAAGTTTTATGTCCGATAGTTAAATTTGCAGTCTTTCTGCTATGTCTAGTCTAGTTATGAATTTGTTTTTGGTGTATATACATAAGCCGAAAATGAATAAAATAAATTGAATTATGGTTTACTTTAAATGAAAACTTAAAAACGTTGAAAATAGTTATTACAGGAACACATTTCTTTATTAAAGAATTTAATTTTAATTTGAAAAAGCGCAATGTGAAAATATTAATGCAATATTTTATAAATGCTTGCTCTTTTCATAATTTATTTAATATACTGTTATTAGAAATATTATATTTTCTTTTAAAAAATGTCATTTCTATTTCATTGGTATCTCATTTGAAATGATTTCATATAGACTGAGTTATAGGTTGTATCTAAATATAATCGATGGTTTCAAAACTCTACACTGGTTGTAACAGAGCACTAATCCGTGGAACCACTTTAACTCCTCCACAGAACACCATTTGTGAACCGCTGGTGTAGAAAAACTGTCATCAGGCTGAATTTGGTGTTGCTATCGACACTTAGTGCAGCTAATGGCTTCCTTGAAAAAGGACGCATTTAGTCTCTGGAGATGGTTGTTGGTCTTAACTTTTTGTAAGTCCCCAGAAATAATGTGATTTTGCCAGGGCTCCTGTTATTCTTCTTAATATTTTGTGTTCAAAAGTAAAAAGTCTTTTAGCTTTTGTTTTAGTCAATTTGCCCGGCAAATTGTGTCTTGTGGGTTTGAGCATTTAAAAAAAATTTCATTTTATTTTTCCTTAAGACTTGTAGCTGCCCCAGGAGTAAAGTATCATACCAATTTTTAACTTTTTACGTACTCTTGCACTTTCTTTAATTTAAAATCTATCACAAGTGAAACTATTGCTCTGGACACACATATCTAGTTTCACAAATTTGTCGATTACGATGAAAATGTATATCTTTTGATTGTCTGGAAAAATTTCAGGTTGTAAGATTTAATTGCAAAGATTAAATGTTTTATAATTTTTTTAATTTGCAAAAAAAACTATAGGATTGTATAACATAGAAAAAAGAAAACATTGAAAGAATAACTTATAAGCTGAAATTTTTTTTTCTTCATTAAATTGCCCTTCGGATATGCAGATAATAATGACCCATTAATATGAACTATAAATTTAAAATGATAAGAAGTAAATATAAAAGATTTTGGCTAATTGAAAAATCCTATTTATTAATGTTACACATATTGCATTATTACTGGGTAATTGGAATTATCTCACAGTGTTTTCGTTTCAGACTGATATTTTTAGGCTTAATACTATATGCTTATTCGTTTTCAAGCAGAATAGGAAGTGTGTGATAAGTAGTATGATTTAATAAGCTTATGGCTATGAGCCTGGACTTCTGCCTGCATTTTGAATAAGTGGTCAGAGCGAGTTTAGATTCTATATTGTCCGTTTTGATGAACCTTTACTTCACTTGGCTCCCTGCAATAAGTTTCCATTGTTTTGAGCTGAATTGCTAACTTTAAATTACTCGGGTTAATTGAGCGGGGAATTATTAGTGGTCTCGTTGCAGTAGGCCTTAAATCTATCAGGCTAATTAGAATATATAAGGAAGTTGCAAAGAATGGTATATTTTAATTAGGTTATGGCAAGTCAATCCAAAAAATTTAATCCATCGAAACAAATGTTGATAAAATTGAGCCCTTTTTTTTCTTAACAGGTTTGATGCTAATTTTTACAACATAAGTCTGCTAAGCATCTATTTTTTAACAATATCTTCATTGTCAACAGAAGTTTTTTTTATCAGTCAAAAAATGAATTAGCATTTAATGTGATTTTTATATACCGGTATTAGTTTGAGTGAAGGCTTATCTAATATTTTTCAAAAATTATTTGATAGCAATAATCATTTAATATAACTTTGACGACTGCCCGTTCTTTTATTTATGTATTTTATGCGAGTTCATTTTTATTTCATTTTAAACGGTTATATTTAAGATGGTATATTTCATAATCAATTTATTACAAGTACCCTTGTTACTTCGTCATAAAAATTTTCATTATGAACGATTTTAGAGACACAGAGCAAATAAAGTAAGAATGAAGGTCAATCAATGATCAGTGAATAATAGATATAGTATTAATACGTGTCAGCAATAAATATCAGGCCCCGCAGTGGACTGATCGTTAAGACACGGTTCCCAGCAGATCACCGAAGTCAAGCATCACTGGCTGCGGTCAGTGTGCGGGTGGGTGACCACTTGGATCAGTCTGCGTAGGGACCGAGGGTGTGCGGTATTGGTCCTCGTTAAACTGTGCTACCGTAAAGTGCTCGACTTC